AGAAACCCACAGGGGCAGTGCTACCCTGTCAACTATAGGGTCACTAGGTGTCAGAATAGACTCCACTGATAGCCCTGGAAACCCACAGGGGCAGTTTGTCTCTGCCCTAGAGGCAGGCTATGAGTAGGAGTCAACTCAGTAACAGTGGGTTGGGTTTTAGGTTCTGGATCAAGTCAATAACTACTCAAGCCCATAGTTAAAATGAGGTTCCAAAGGGCTCTGATAATCCCATCAGCTGCTCCGAAAGAAAAAGATGAGGCTGTCTGTCCCCATGAAGATTCACAATCACGGAAGAAAGGTCTGGCAATCTATGTCGCCAAACCAGCCACCCAAACCTCTAGGGGGCACTGTTCTACTCTGTCATGGAGTTAGTTGGAGAATCCACGGAATCAGTCGGCGCTGACTGCAGCTTGTTTTGGGGGGAGGTGGTGGCAACCCTTCCACTTGACCTTACCCTATCTCAAACCCTAAATAAACCCCCCCCAGAGTACTTTTCAGAGTGACTCCACTTAATATTGAGTGTAACTTGTTAAAGGTCAAATAACATGCTTTGAACATAAGTGCACTCTTCAAAGAGCAATAATAATAAAAAAAAAAAAGGCACAAGACCATCTTACCATAACCACCAGTAACGGTGCCCCTACTTACCCAATGATCTGAAAACTGTCCATACAAAACCATACGTGCAAATGCCTGTAATAGTTTTACTTACAAATGCCCACAACTAGAAGTAGCCAACAAGTCCTTCAATGAGCAAACTGATTTTTTAAAATCTGGGATGTGTACACAATGGAGTGCTGTTTATAGATAAAAGTGGATTAATAAGTCACAAGAAGACTTGGGTGGTGCACAAGTTTCAAAGCAAGGAGCGTGTGTGGTTGAGGCCTTATGCAGGGCCAAGTTCAAGTTCCCTGGGTACCAGAAGATCCACGTCTCTAAGAAGTGGGGCTTCACCAAGTTTAATGCTGATGAATCTGAGGACACGGTGGCTGAGAAATGCCTTATCCCATGGCTGTGGAGTCAAATACAGCCCCAATCAGGGGCCCTTGCACAACTAGTGGACCCTGCATTCATGAAGGTCTTGGTAGCCCCGTGCCCACCAATAAACTGAACTTCCTGTCTCCAGAAAAAACACCTGGATGGTTCCTAGATGTATATTGCTAAAAGAAAGACGCCAACATGAAAAAGCTCTATATTGTGTGATTTTTAATGATGTGACATCCTGGAAAAGGCAAAACTCTAGCAACTCAAAAAAGGGAAGGGGGTGGGAAGAATGAATGTAAGAAAGAAAGAAAAAAAGGGAAAGATGACGAGACTAGATGAAGCACAGGTGTGCTTTGGGGCATCTCACCTCTAGCTTCCTGTGGGGAGGAGAGAACCGCAATCAACACCGGCCCAAGGCTGATGCTTATGAAGCGCAGGTCATACGTACCTCCAGCCCCCATCTTTTTACCAATTCTGACACCCGATGTCCCTCCCCGGGCGCTTCCACTTTGCAGCTCAATTCAATGCCATGGCCACAAAGAACTCACAGTGTGGGGTTTACTAGGGGAGTAAAAGGTTACAATTCAGCAATAGGAATGGCTCAGGACACAGTTATTTGGCCAGAACAGTTGCCTTGCTCTGCCCACCAGCAGGAATCTCCCTGGTCCTCAGCTCTTCAGGCAGGTCAGCCTACATCTGCCCTGCTCAGGCAAGTATTATTCTGCCAAGAAGCCTTGGCCCTAGGGTGCTTATTCATGTTCCTTGGTCCATGGATTAGGTCGGCAAACCTACTGTAATTGCTTTGCAAAGGCTAAGCCGATTCCTGGCTATGCTGCCATTTCCAGTCTATAGGGTCTAGGAGGTTCTCAGCACAGGGCCTCCAAGTCCAAAGGATGTGCTCTACACACCCACCCACCCTGCTCCTGACACAGCGGGCTTGTTCTAAGATTAGAGAAATAGCAAAACTGACGAATCTCTTCATTATGGTTCCATACACCTTATTTGCATGGTCCCATCCAAACACTGTGCGGGCGTCACAATGGTTATAGCTGGAAGGGCCATATTAAATAATTCACTGCACCTCCACAGGCGATTTTTCTAAGGTGGTGAAATTATATTTGGTCCTCCATATCTGTGGGTTCTATGTTCACAGACTCAACCAACCATGGATAGAAGATATTTGAAAGGGGGGGGGGGGGGGAAAGCAATTAAGTGACTAAAGAAATCCCTCAAAAAAAAAAAAAATAAATCCCTCAATGGTTAAGAGGGAGCATGCAGTGCTTTTTATTTATCATACACATTGTAGGACCTGGGTAATTAAGGAGCTCTGGTGACACTGTGGGTTAGGCACTGGGCCGCAGACTACATTCGTGACTGAAATGCACCAGCGGCTCCATCGGGGGAAGATGAGGCTGTCTGCTTCGATACACATGTATAGTCTGGGGAGCCCTACGCAGGACTGCTATGAGACGGAACTGACTTGGTGGCAGTGAATTTGGTTTTAGGTTTGGGTGTTAGATATTACAACTAATCTAAAGATGATTTAAAAGATTTAAGAATGTGCATGTTACATGCAAATAACTACTATGCCATTTTATATAACAGGGTTTCAAAAAAATCATAGAAAAACTCCATTACCTTTTAATCCCATTTTCCCACCAACTTTTAAAAGTCCCCTCAAGTAAGAGATTTGAGCACCTACAGGGGCTCCTGAAACCAATTCCCCATGGACACCAATGGACGACTGTATTCTGTTCTGCATAACACCGCACATACATGACACTATACCTTTGTCAACATTCACCGAACTCTACGGCACAAAGAGTGCGTCTTAATGTGTGTAGCTTTACGAAATTGAAATAGAGGACCCGAATGAAACGCGGTCTATGACAAACAATTCAGCAATGGACAAGGTATGGGATCTAAGTAATCTAGAAAATGAATGGAGTGAGGTGAGAGGCAACGAGAGTGGCCATAAGCACCATATTTTACTCGTTGTTTCCCAAAGGAAGTTTGAGTTAACAATTCGGATACGACGTACATCAAATGGAAAGCCAAACTGGACAATTAAGTAAAAGATGGCAGTGGTAGGAGACAGAGTCTCACTGCTACAGTCACAATCTATAGGTAAGCAAGGGGAGAATGGAATGATTCACCTGGTAATGGTTTAGAGTTTAAGACATTAGTCTGAACTCACGTTTTTACACACACGCACACACGCACGCACGCACGCACACGGTTCATACAAAAAGATTGCAAAAGAGATACCTTTACTTTATCCTGGCTTATGGGCCAAGCACAAAAGTTTTCAATTGCCTGGGGGCTCTGAGTAACTTTTTTTCCTTTCTATAAAGGAGGTGGTAAGCCAAATACATTTGGGGACTTATATGATTCAGTCTCAGATACCCCAAACAAGGCTCTGAGTCAAAATGGACTTGCTGGCAATGGGTTTGGTTTGAGGGATAGGTGTGTGTATGTGTGTGTGTGTTCCACGCACAAGAATCCCACGTGTGTGTATATATATCAATCACCCTTACAGAGGTGACACAGCACCCCCATTCCTTAAGTGTGGACAGCACAGGATTTCCTTCCAAAACATGGTGATTTGTTATAAGAAAGTTTTCTTTTGCTTTTCTTAAAAAAATAATACAAATTTGAAAGATTGACGCCTAAATACAAGTCATTTTTCTACCCAAGTATTCTACAGTTCTTCTAAGGATAGAAGAGAAACCAGTTTCAGTGTCAATTTTCCAATCATCTCTCAAGATAGTTGTTCATAAGCAATAAAGGACGCTGCCTTGAAATATAATTTTTTTAAAAAGACGAGTGCTTCCCAATGTTAATCCACTTGAATCAGGAGATTCCAAGATTTGAGAAGTTGGCACTGGCACAGGGGCCACCGCACAGGGAGAAGAACTCACACCGTAGGGACCTTACAGGAGCACAGGACACTGGGAGGATAACAGGGAGCCATTAATGCATCAGGAAGTATCTCTGCAGAGTTCCGTGATACGCTCTCTGAATGAGGGGTTGAAGAGAGACGGAGCTTATTTTAAATTCTGCTGGAATCTGACTTCAGCTTATTAACCTTATCTGGATAGCTGAATAAAGGCACGTTAAACATTTCTACCATATTCTGCCATTACCTCTAGGACCAACATCCAGAAACATTGCAATGGTTTGCCATTTATGAATGATTTCTTGAAAAGAACATTCATAACAAACCTAACAGATTCTAGTAGCTTGATATGGTTCTATAGTTAGCCTTAGTGGTGAGGTGGGTTACGAGTTGGGCTGCTCACCATGAGACCTGCAGTTCGAAACCACCAGCCACTCCTCAGGAGAAAGATGGGGCTTTCTACTCCGATAAAGAGTTAACAGTCTTGGAAACTTACAGGGGCAGTGATATCCTGTCCTACAGGGCTGCTACGCGTCAAAACTGACTCAACAGCGTGAGTGTTGGATAATCAGCAAATGCTACTCAGAACTCTGGTGCGGACAGAGGTAGGCATGATCAATATACGACCACACACTGATGCGCCAGGGACAGTAAATACAGCAAGCTTAAAACTGCCAGTCTCTCTCAGAGATGGACAGATCCAAGAACTGTTTGGGCCAATACTCTGCTCTCCTCCCAACGGAGGATGGGAGCCAAATAACAACCATGACCAACAGAAAGCTTCTCGGGAATTGCCAGGTCCCATGCAAGTGCCATCAGTTATCAGAGCAAAACCACTGCCAGTTTCAGTGAATTCGAGGCAGAGCGGAGACTCTTCTTGAACGAAGAGAGAAGTGGTAGGAGGGCAGAGCGTGAGCATGAGTCTTGAACAGGCTACGTCCTTTCCCCCGTACACGGCGAGACTAAGGCTGAAATAAGACCACCAGGCTACTCCTGCAGTTCTCCCAGTGCTCTTTTATAAGGACAATGAAAGACCCACTGAGAGAGCTCTGGCAGTGAAGAGCTTAGAGCCCTGAACCGTCAGGTAGAGAAGAATTATCAACGTGATCCTACTTACAAGAGTTGTGCCGTCGGCGGAAACTTTTGGACTGACTCAAGGACTCCACGTGCCTGTCCACATAGCTTTTTGAGCACGGCTGCTGCTGAGGGGAAATGGCAGCCTCTTGGCTCCTCACGTCTGTCCTCTTAGGGATGTTCTGCGGGGCACTGCTGGAGGAGGACGGCTTCTTGATCAATTTGCCCATGCCATTCTGATTGATCCCTACTTGGTAGCCCACGCCAGAGGGGCCTAATTCCACCTGATGAAGATCCCCAAGATGCTGGTTGTCCCCAGGTATCTCCAGAATTTTTAATTCCGTAATGTCACCTGCCCTGAAACGCAAAACAAGAGTCCAAATCACAAAACAGTAATAGCAAACAAACCGGGGTCAATAGCAACAAGTTACACCTTGCCAGGGGGCTTTTCAATGAGCATCTGAAGCAGAAACTAAGACTGCTTTATGGATTATTAAATGTTTTCCACTCACTCACCAGAAATAGAACACTTAGCTAGTATGTTCTTAGGCCTGAATTATCCATAAGGTTTTCTGTGGCTAATTCTTCTACAGTAGACAGCCTATTCCTTTTTCATAGTCTATCCTTAATCTGGAAACTCTACCTGTTCACTTGGGTGAGCCTGCTGGTATTTGAAATATCAACAATGCAGCTTCCAGCATCACACAAGCCACCATAGTACAACTGAGAGAAAAGTGGGGATTGTGGCCTTCCCTATGGATTATAACTCAATGTAATGAAAACCAAAATCATCACAAGGGAATCAATAGGTAACGTTGTGACAAGTGGACAGCTTCCACTGCCAAGGATGAGGATTTTGTCTTGCTTAGATCCACAATCCATGCTCAGGGAAGCAGCAGTGAAGAGATCAAACACTGCACTGCACTGCACTGGGTGAACCTGCTGCACAGCCCTCTTTAAATACCGACAAGCAAGGATTGTACTTTGAGAACTAAGGTACACTGACCCAAACCATGGTATTTTTCTTTAAATCGTTTTATTGGGGGTTGCCATGGTATTTTTTCAATCACCTCACATGCATGTGACAGCTGGGACACTGAATACATAAAAATGAAGCAACAAAATTGAGGCACTTGAATTATAGTGTTGGCGAAGAATATTGAAAGTACCATGGACTATCATAAAAACAAACAAATCTGTCTTCTCAGAAGTACAGCCAGGATGCTCCTTAGAAGCAGGGATGGGGAGACTTCATCTCACATCCTTTAGACACCTTGTCAGGAGGGAACTGTCTGCTTGTGGAGGGCCACCAAAGGTAAAGCTGCAAAGTTAACCCGGGAGCAGACAGCATGTCAGCATTTCCTGGTGGTTGTAGAGAAACTAAAAGGAGGGACACCAGTCCAAAAATAAGAGATTAGCAGGGTGGGTGATAATGCAAAGGGAGAGGGGAGAATGGAGTCCCGAGACATTTGGAAATCTACAGGATTTGGTGACTAACAATATGAGGATTAAAGAGAGTGTTCGATGGTCCCTAGGTTTTTAACTTGGATGAAAGGGATTATTAGTTACCAATAGTGGGTAGAACATTAGAAGAAATTTGCAGGCACACAGTAATTAAATATAAGGGTTAGGTGTGGAGGGATCTCAGTGTATAAGAAGGTAGACATGAGATTAACTATAGAATACAGACTGAGAAAAGAACTAAAAATAAAACTGAGAAAATCCATCTAAAGGAATAAAAATACACACACATGGTAGGAGTTAGGGGGCAATCAAACACGGTTAGAATTTGACAGTGCCACAGAATTTGGCAACCAGGTGATTTGTAACATCAGTAAGATGGTAAAGTGTGGAAACCAGACAAGGTGGGATGAGGAGGGATAGAGAATGAGATGACAGAGGCGCTGGAGGAAGACTGTTTACCCAATCAAGAATTGTGGGTACCAAGGGAGAGAAAATGGCAGAGCAGTCAATACCTAGTAACAAACACAGGTCAGGGGCAAGTGTTTTAAGTATGGAATTGGTCACAAGACGCAGAGTGATGGGCTGAGACTGAAAATACCAGAGACGGGGCAGGGTCACAGAGGAGGAAGAAAGGGCTAACTAAGCAGAGGATGACAGACAGCACCAGGCCTGAATACAGAGAGCTTCCTCCACTCAGACGGCAAGAACCCAAGGAACACAACTGCTGCTGGTGCCAAGCTAGTGAGGAGAGGGCTGTGAAGACACAACTGAACTGAGACCCGCCGGCAAACATTAAGAAAAAGAGCCTTTGGTCAACTAAGGACCTTAGTGAGGAGACCATAGCAGTGTTATGAGTTGGGATGTAACCACAAGGTGAGCAGTTCGAAAGCACCAGCCGCTCTGCGGGAGAAGGATGAGGCTCTCTATGCCCATAAAAAAGTACAGTCTTAATGAACCTATAGGGGCAGCAAGTAGAATAAGGCTTTGCTGGGGGTGGGGGGGATGATATCAAAGAGTCCAGGAAGAAAAATAATTTTTGGAAACTGATTATGGTAGCAATTGTACAATATGCAATTAAACTATGGAATGATATATGTATTAACTCCCAATTAAAATAAAATTATAGTCTAGGAATCCCACAGGAGCAGCTTTACCCTGTCCTAGGGTCACTACGAGTCAGAATCAATTCAATGGCAGTGACTTTGAGAAGGATTTAGCTATTGGCGATGGTGCCTCTGGGGATAAACTGTTATACAAATCTAAAGATTATGGAGAGGAAAAGTCCCAACAAGGAAGGACATTCAAGTCACATAAAGCCGAGAGTGAAAGCTCAGCGGATGTGTCTTATGCCTGGAGGATCACTGATGATGCTCTTTGTCATAAAATTATAATGAGAACGCTAAAGTGAACCAGTCGTACATAACCCATGGACAGGCAAATAGATTCTGGGTTCCCCCTTAATTCTATCCCCAATCCAAGAACATTTAGTACTCATGACATAGCCCTGCTTGATGCTTACTCTCATCAAGAGATCACTGAAGATATGGGCGTTATAGCAAAGTGTGATGAAGAAAGCCGATGGCGCCTGGCTTTCAAAAATAATAGTGTCTGGGGTCTTAAAGGCTTGTACTCAAACAAGCGGCCACCTAAGTGAGACGTCAACTATGTCCACTTGGATGAAGCACACCAGCTTGTGTGATCCAAAGATGACAATAACAAAACCCAAACATGAAGGAGGGTAAAGTATCAGAACTTAAATAGTTAACACCCAATTTGAAGAAGGCTATGGAGATGACAGTGGGAGCCCCAAAATCTGCTGGGCACCAACATGGATTAAACCTCAGGTGGATCCCCTGACCATAGTTGGGGATCCAAATAACCTTGCTATCACATAAAGACTAGATTGTGGTGGATGGAACTAGGGTATAATATGACACCTGGTTATTTGGCTCATTCTTGATTTGTTCTCATTTTAAATATTTCTTGCTTTTTTCTCAACAAAGGTTTTTATCCTCTAGTTTAATATTACCAGTAGTCTTTTCTCTATATATATATGCATGTGTGTATTTACCGTTCTCAGTTTTTTGTTTGTTTGTATTTTTTGTTTCCCAGTTTTTGAAACTCAGGAAAGGTGGATGTACACAGCTAACAATTGGTGCAATAGCTCAAGGGGATTGGGGGGTGGGGAGGTCTTAAGGGAAATAGGGAGTAAGGAATGAATACAGGTGGGGAAGGATACTCTAGAATTGATTGTGGTGATGTATACACAACTTTAAATATGACTGGATTATGCAAGTAGATGATATGTGAATCATATCTCAATAAAACTAATAGAAAAGGAGAATAAAAATATGAAAGCGTACTAGAGGGGAAAAAAAGTGAGGTTCTTCTGAAAAGGATCCATTTAAGTAATGTTCTATGCTTGACAAATTCTAAGAAAATGGTTTCACAAACCCTAAATCATTAGCCAAAAGCTAATTACGCCATATCTCTGCTGGGAACAGTAGCTAGAAATTGCATCCTCAGATTAAAAATCTCACCTGGCACAGCTCTAGCCAGCGCTGCCCTGTGGAAGAGAATAATGGTACATCAAATCAAGGGGCTCATGCTCCCGAGGCGGGGCACCCACCTGAAGGTGACTTCTGGCACAAGGCACTTCACTCCATTGTGGAACGGCCGGGTCAGAGAAATGGTCTGGCTGACCTGATCCACTGCCGACACTCTGCCCTGATACACACCCAAGCTCTCTCCACAGTTGATGGACACAATACTGCCCAGCCAATCTGTAGCCATGTTTCAGGTGCGAGACCACTGTGAAGAGAAGGAACCGTTCAGTGTACCTTGGAAACACATGGCTCTTGACGGGCAGCAGGTATTAACCCGGTGCTGCTCTGTGTCTGGCTCAGCGCGCACTAATCCACGTTCTGTCACATTCTCAACTGATGAGAACAGAAGAGACGTAACGTAAGAACACTTTTTTCTTCCAAGTAGGAGTGTACATATCAGTAAATAGACATTATCATTTAACGCAGAGATCTTATAGTTGCTTAGACACACATGCATTGTAAAGATACTGTTTCCCTACTCACATGGCAAAGATACTATGTCCCTAATCAAATCATATAACTATAACCAGTTTACATCTGAGGATATTTTAATACACCTGCTACTAGAATGCTCTCAAAGATAACTTAATCCCAAGAAATGTGGAAGCAACACTACTAAAACTGACAATGCCAGAAGAACCTGTTATCCGACGAGCCGTCCTGCTGCTGTTAGTGATAAATTCTCGACCACGGTAGCAGTTGGAAGACGCTCTGGAAGACTACACCGAATGAGCGAGCTTCAAGGAGTGCAGAGAAAAATTCTAGTGATCTTATCATTCGATTTTCCACAAACTTTTGGAGACCCCTCCTACTGTTTTTCCAACCACGCATAGGATATTCACCAGCACATTCTTTTCTTTTCTAAATGTGCCGGTTTTAATGGAAGTTGCGTACAAGACATTTTACTCTTGCATCTTCTCGAGTGATTGATTCCTCCTTGTATTTGTCCTCTTCCTGTCCGACTTGGCGAGACTTGGCTTTCGCTCCAGGGTCTGTTTGCCGTCTTTATCCAGTTTTAACCTCGTCATAACCACCTTGCTGGGGTGAATGCCCACACGGACAGCGGTGCCTTTATCTCGCTGCATGCTGCACGCGCTCAGTGTAGATGACGTATTTCTTCCTGTCAACCTGGACCACTTTGCCAATCTGCTGACCTTTGTAGTGTCCTCGCACAACCTGGACGTCATCATCCTTGCGGATCGGCATGGACCGAACGTTGTATATCTGTCTCACTTCCTTGGAAAGAGGGGAAGACATACTCTTCCTGCGAACGTGGAAAGGTGCACTGAAATGCCCTTTCTGGTTTTTGCTCCGGTCCGAAGTCACAAAGGGCCTGAACTTCATTTTGGCTGCTACTCCTTCAGTGATGGCCCCCAAAGGGAAAAGTACCACCAACACATTCCTGGCCCTAAGCAAATATTAAATTTCAAAGGCTTGAAATCGCTGAGTATGTTCTCAAGCCACAACAAAATTACACTTGAAATCCACACCAGCGTTTTAGAATATTCCTAAATATGTGGAGATTCAGCAGGGTATTTCTAAATGCACCGCGGGTCAAAGATGGCCTCACAGGCAATAAGGAAACAATCTGGATTCAATGAGAATGAAAACAGAGCACTCAAAAATATGTGGGAGCAGAACTTGAAGGGAAATGTGCACCTCCAAATGCTTATATTAGAAAAGAAAAAAGGTTTTTAAACCAAGGATCTACCTAAGCTTCTAGCTTAAGAAGCTACAGGGGACAAAGCAAACTTGATCCCAAATGAGAGTTGCAAGCCATCTTCCAGTCACCCAGCTCCTGGAGAGCCCATTCACAGCAAGATCAGATGGCTGTAATCCATAGGCCTTTCAGTGGTTGATTTTCCAGAATCGCTTAACTGGGACCCTCTTCCTAGCCTGTCTTAGTCTAGAAGCTCTGCTAAACCAGTTCAGTATCGGAGCCACATGCAAGCCTCCCCGGGCGGATGGGCGGTAGCTGTGCTGAGGTGCACTGCGTGTTCCATACAGAAGGCTGAGATGTCCACCATGGCCTCTCAAAGGGCCAGTCAGCACAGGAAAAGGCGCTCCTCCCCGTTCTCTGCCAGGGAACCGGAAATGAAAACACGGCACTTAGCCACTCCCAGTGCTGCAACTCAAAGGCAACTCCCACTCCCAGTGCCCATGCAGGGCTTCCATGGAGGCAAGTCTCTGCAGGCTGGAAACCTAATGGGAGTGGACAGCCTCAACTTTCTCCAGCAGAGGCTGGTGGTTTGCACGGCCAGCCTCATGGTTAACAATCCAACACTTACTGATAATCAGTCAGTGTCTTGCTATCAAAGTTCATCCGATTTTAATTGCAAACCCAGTCTTTGCTTCCAGAGGGGAAGTAGGTGCTGCAGGTGGGGACATCATGAGAAAACATACCTTTCTTGTACCTTTTATTGGTGTCCACTTTGTGAGTCTTCAGCAGTAGTAGTTTCATTTTAAAAGCATCATGACAAAACTGTCACTGTATTAACAAGCTATTACGAACCCCCCCCAAAAAAAACAAGTCCACTGCTGTTGAGGCAATTCCGATTCACAATAGCTCTAACAGGGCAAAGAACTGCTTCTTAGGGTTTCCAATCTTTTTTTCTTTTTTTTTTTTTTAAACATTTTATTAGGGGCTCATACAACTCTTATCACAATCCATACACACATCAATTGTGTAAAGCGCATTTGTACTTCATTCTCAAAACATTTTCTCTCCACTTAAACCACTGGCATTAGGTCCTCATTTTTCTCTTCCCTCCCCGCGCCCCCCTCCCTCATGAGCCCTTGATAGTTTATAAATTGTTATTTTGTCATATCTTGCCCTGTCCGACGTCTCCCCTCACCCACTTTTCTGTTGTCCATCCCCCAGGGAGGAGGTCACATATAGTCCCTAGGGTTTCCAACCTTAACGGTCCCAGAAAGTCTCTTCTGTCTCCTATGGCTAGTGGGCTTTAAGCCGCCAAATTTGTGCTTAGTAGCCCAATGCTTAATCCATTACTCCATGATTCAATTCTTTTGAAATTCACGCTTTACAGAGCTCAATCATAAAGCTGGATAGCTCTCTCAACCTCTCTCCACAGGACTGGGACAAGTAACTTCTTTATTTCCTAGTTATTTATTCAACAAATATGTACTGGATGCCTAATAGTGCCAGGGACTATATCCAGCTATCCTGAGTTTTCAAAAGCAAAGCAAGTTGTCAAAAACAGAATGTCTACAGACAATTCTATAGGTGACAGAAAGAAAAAGTATGGGAAATTCCACGACTATTTAGCACTAGTGGGGCTAGAATATGAGAAACATTGGTGGTGTAGTGATCACACGTTGGTCAAAACCACTGGGTGCTCCGAGGGAAAGACAAGGCTTTCTACTCCTATAGTTACAGTAAAAAAAAAAAAAAAGTTAGTCTTAGGAGCACTGGTGGTGTAGTGGTTGTGAGTTGGTTGCTAACTGCAAGAGTTAGTCTTGAACTAACCACAGGGGCACTACTGTCCTGTCCTATTGGGTCGCTGTGAGTTGGAACCAAGTTGATGGTGAGTTTTTGGTTTGGTTTAGTTTGGGGTGGGGAGGGGAGGGGGGGTAGGATAGTCCAATGAACTGTTTTTCAGGCCCATGAACAGGTTCTCAAAGAGGGGCCAGATAAGGACATTTTAATTATCCAGTCTGGAGAGATGAGGACTTCTGCGGAAAATCATCACCCACAAATCAGCTGGTGACTGACAAGCACATTTTATCTTGCCAAGTCTGAGTGCTAACTATGAGGAGGAGCTGTTTAAAGACCTGCAAATATTTTTCAAAAATAGAAAACCTTATTGCCCAGCAAATGAAACAATAACTACATAAATACACATGACTAGTGTTACATAAGGTTATCAATGCTGTGGTAGTTACTTAATTTCATGTCAACTTAATAAATTCCAGTATAGGGGTGGAGTCTAGCCTGTCAATCAGGTCACAGCCTAATGATGTTTCCTTGTGGGTGTGGCCTTCTCATGAGGATTCTGGGAACTTCCTCTTTTTCTCCTGAGAGGCGGGCCACACTCTCTGCCTTCATCTTCCTGTGGACCAGCCATATGGAGCTACACTGTGACCTAAGCAAGCCTTGCAGTGGAGACCTGTGGAGACAGGTGACGCTTCCATTGCAATTGGATCCACACAAGTTTTCACCCACCAGCCTGTCATCTTCCTGCATTTGGCATCACTGCATGTGCTGTGTGAGTCTGAAGAGGGATTTATGGACTAGTATCAGGCATATGGGCCAATATCAGAGTTATGGACTTGATCTAGGCTGGGCTGGGATGTTTTCTCAATATACAACTGCTCTTTGGTATAAAACTCTCTTACATACATGAGTGTCTCTGGATTTATTTCTCTAGTCAACCCAGACTAACAGAAATGCCAAATAAAATATTTCTTCATGATCAATTCTTAATTTTTCTTCCCTAATGTTGCAAGCCACACTTCAGGCATGAAGCGTTTGTTTTTTCCCCAAGACTTGAACATTCATCCATAGCTACCTATTGGATGTAACTTTTGGTTCCACCTGTAATATGCTTGATATGATTCTAGTTTGGTTTTGTTGTTGTTTTATTCCCACAGTCATCCTTTGACATATTTTTGGAAAACATTTATCATGATGACGTTTATCCATCTTCAAACATTGTCGAATCTTGAAAAACCCTGGCTACAGGGTCCACCACTGCCAGCCAGCTGGCCAACCACATGGCAGAGGGTACCTCTGGTGCACCCCCTGCTTGGCAGCCACTGCAAAAAGGCAAAGTTCATTGGCTTTCAGCTGTGCTCCTTCTGCTTCCAGTTCCTAAGCATCTCTCAGTACCATGCCTTTGATTCACTCATCGCTTTGCTCTTCTCCTCCTGGGACAGCCGTCATCTTACCAATCTACTTCTCTACTACATCTTAAGTTTGGAGGTCAGGTTTGATGTACAATGAAAAGATGTAATTCCCCCCTCTGAAAAGCCTACCAATGGCAGTGAATCCTTCAAGCAACCCCAATCTAAAAAGACTAAATATTTTCTGTACTCAACAGGTTAACAAGATGTTTCACAAAAACGCAATGTTGGCACAGCCAACGCTATTCTGCCAATTCGCTCCTAGAATTTATCCTAACAATCTGTTTGTGCAGCTTCAAAAGAAGCATCAGATCCCAGATCACCAGGATTTTTCCAGATGACTTTTAAATGGAACAATTTTGGTCCACTGTTGAACTCTCAGGACTTGCAGACTACTGAATGATAGAAGAAAGGACGTTACTACATCATCTGTCTTGTAAAATACAATAAAGTGCAGCGGCCCTAAACAGGCTTCTGGCCATTTTGCAGCTGAAGCCATAAGACAGTCCATAAGCTGCCGACAGCTGATGAGCCTCGGAACGGGCTCACTTCATTTCACCTGCCGCCTCTGGTCCAACGCAGAGCATTCAGGTACAAGGAGAAGCCCCTGGACCTGCTACAAGTAATTATAAGTCAGCTGTGCATAAACAAGGAGTTAGTATGTACTTCTAAAAAGCGAGGCATTTCCCATGCACCTGGAAAGGTGTTTGTACTTATAGAATAAAAATCGTGGGAATAGCAAGGCCCTTTCCAGGGTAGAAAGGACATGAACTTTTGAAGTTTGACATCCTAAGCCCAGTTCACCTCCGAATTACAACCCCTTCCAGCTCTATGTCCTGGGCAAATAACCTAATGGAAGTCTCAATTGCCTCATACATAAAGTGGAAATTATACCAATTAAACACCTATCTTGCAGAATTACTACGAAGACTGAGAAAATCTATAAGGCGTATACCATGTAACCGATTTTAGTTCAAAGGTCTCCTTTTGGCAGAAACCCTATTGATCAGACAGAAGACTACTGGATGACCCTGGAAAAATCACCACCTCTCTTCTCAGCCAAGCAAAAATGCAACAACATCGGAATTCACTCTCGGATCGCTTGCAAAGTTCCACTCTTCAAACTGGAATACACATATCTCTGCAAGTACACATAAAAGTTTTCCAAGACATATGCAAGCACGCTACTCTTTCATAAACCTGATTTGCTTAGATAATTGAATAATCAATAAAAGACTTTCATCCATAAAATGTATTACTACTTTAGGGAAGGGGGCCAGCAGTCTATCGTTCAGTCCTAATCGCCCGGTGTCAACAGTTTCCTTGGTCCACAGCTGTGATTATTCATTTGGGTACTGACTACAACTGGCTCGTACTAGAGTGGCAGAGGTGAGTGGCTATAAAAAGATCTGACCTATAAATCCTACCACCTTACTCATCTGAAGATTCTTTAAAACATCCCATTACTGAGCATCTGTGAGAAAAACTGAATGGACACAAATTCAAAAAAGGGAAAATACAAAATGGACAAATTCTCAGAATGATACAAAACTCAAGGAAACAGGTGTGTTAGTCTGAGTACTTTAGGGAAACAAATCCACAGAAACTCATTATAAGAGAGAGTTTTATGTAAAGTTTAAGTGCGCATCAAGAAAATATCCCAACTCAGTGCTGCCCAAGCCCACAAGTCCAACATTAACCCATCTGTCCAACACCAGTCCACAAAGTCCTCCTCCATCTCACAAAACAGACACAACGATGCCGACCGCAGGAGGAAAGCCGAGTCAGTGAACGTGTAAGCATCTCAGCGCTGGCAGGGGTCTCCACATGGGTGCTCCAGCACCCAGGGCTGCATCGGGGTAGGTCCATGTGGCTTCTCCTTGGGGATGTCTTGCAGGAAGTCAGCCTTGCAAGCTGAATCAGGGAACTGCTAAGGCAGCTGCACCCTGGTTCGACTATCACAAAGCAAGAGACCTGAGAACTAGAAAGGCGAGGCTCACGGAGCCATTTATCCCTCCGCTCTTCAATTAACCCCACATGTGTTTATTGGCCAGGTTGGCACAATCAACTAACTAACTCATCAGGTAGAATCAAAAGACCCAACCTGATGCTGTCAAGTTGATTCTGACTCACAGAACCCCGGCAGGGTCCCCAAGGTTGTCAGTCTTTACAGAGGCAGACCACCGTGTCTCTCATGAAGTGGTTGGTGAGTTTGAACCACTGGCCTCTCAGTTGGTAAAAGAGCATGTAATGACTGTGATACTGGGGCTCATATCAAGTAGAGAAACTGAATCAGTCATTTAAAAGTTTCCCACAGAGGAAGGTCCAGGTCTGACATTTTCTTTGGTGACTTTACTAGTAAATGTTGTCATTAATTAAAAATCAGGTGACCTTACTGGTAAATTCTACTAAATATCTGAGAAATAAGTAATACCAACCCTACACAAACTGCTTCAGAAACCAAAGGAGGAGGAACATTTCTCAGCTCATTTTACAAGGAGTATTACCTTACTCGGAGACCAATGCCAGACAAAGGTACCACCGGAAAAGAATACTGCAGACTAATATTCCTCATGGACACGGACACAAAACCTCCTAACAAAATACTGGTAAACCCAGCTCGGCAAGAAATAGCAAGAACTAAACACCAACAGAGTTCATTTCAGGAATGCCAGGTTGGTTTAACAATGAAAAATCAAGTAACGTAATATACCACTTCATGCATACTTCAGAGCTATGACAGGTTCAGCTCAGACCGCTGCAATAAAGTGACCACACTAAAGTCGATTACACAGATGTGTTTATTTTCAAGTGCATATAAAGTTAGGTTGGCACTACCCAATAGTCTATCAAGTATAGAACAGGATTATGGAAAAGTGCGAAATGTGAGAATTATCAAAATGTTAGTGGCATGAGGCGAGCACATGCTGCTGAGACAACAGCACTCAATCTAATCCCACCACGATCCCTCCACCTCACCTCCCATGTTACCGGAACAGTCTCAACAGGTGCCTTACTAACATTCTCGCACGACCTTCCTGGAGATACCAATTTGGATCCTGTCTTATTTTGTCTGGCTACCTGAAAAAAAGTCTAACCTAACCCTACTTATCTGGCAAAGAACCGGAAAATGCAACACAGTCCACTTGCAGTATTTACAGGATCTCAGGAATGACAGGATTTTACATATCGTTCAGTCTAGTGCTTTTCAAATTACAAGCACCCTGTGGCTCGGAGTTCATTTAGTGAGTTACAATACCACCACCACCACCCTGTCTTCACTTGAATCCATAGAAATGTCAGCGGGCATCATCTGCAGAAAGGATAGGGGAACTTTAATTCCATGTGTGTGCACGCTCATGTTCGTGCTGTGTGCAGGCGTACTCTGGGTAATGACGTAAATGTATTCAACGGTGGGCCACAGGTCAAGAAAGCCTGAGACCCTTCACTAGTCCCACAGCCTACCCCCTCACGGAGGCGCCACCAAAACACTCTTAGTAAGCAAAAGGGCATGTCTGTGCAACCGTTTCACCTCATTCAGAGACGCAAGCAATTCGGTACATTCATAAATAGAGAGTGGGATCCAGCTGAGGCTTCAGACGGAAACAGCTGCTCAGAAAGAGTCACTTACATTTTGGTGGGGTGAAAACCTGTCCCTGACAGACGACCGAATGAAGTCCGTTTAGTATGAGCTTAGGGACGAGAACAAACAAAAACCACTCTGGTCCTCAAGTTCCTCCTCTGTAACCGGAGGAGGGGGCTGCTAAAGCTCCTTCTAGGCCTGGAACTGGGGCAATTATTCAAAATCAACTCACCTGGCCAGCAAGGACTCTGCCTCTCACCCACCCAAACACTTTGCAGAACTCAAGTCAGTTAGCGCAAGGAATGCCACAGAGTGGGCTGTCCTACGGCAGGAAAAAAAGTCTGGAAGCAATGCCTGGGATTCAGGTGAAGCTGTGCCCTAGAATGTATCCTTTACCTTCTCAATCCGCTTCATCTCCCAGGCCCAGGCCCACCTGTCATCAAACGATCAGTAAGGGGCGTGGCCCTCGCCTCGCCTCCCCTCCTGGCCAACAGGTCACTGGAGTAGAGTAATGAGTGAGCCAGTGAGTGTAAAGCCACCAACCAGGCTGCACGAGGGGCCAGGCCGCTAATGCTTCCGACCTCACGCCACTGCCACCCCGCTTAGGACCCGCTGTCCCACCTCATGCCAACCCCCTTGGGGAACTCGTAGTACCTGGCCCCCATCCTACAGGTACAGATGCGACCTCCACCTCGGGCCCGCTTCTCCCAAGCTCCACTTGGCCTGGCGCCCTCAAGTCTCAAAGCAAACCCCACTGGAACCCCGGAAGCCCCCTCCCCCAGGCTACCCCAAACCAGGCGCCCCCCTTCAGCTCCCACCTCCGCGCCGTCCGGCCGGCGCTTCGTCCAACGCCACAGAG